GGAGGTGCCCGAGGGATGTACGAGGACGGGAGGTTGTGCGCGGGACTCGCCCGCAGGGTGTGCGAGGGCAGGGGGTTGTGCATGGGATTTGCCTGCGAGGTGTGCGAGGATGGGGGTTTGTGCACGGGAGATGCCCGAGGGATGTGCGGGGACGGGAGCCCGCACGGGGTGTGCGAGGGCAGGGGGCTGTGCACAGGGAGGGCCCTGGTGGGGGACGGTGCTTGTGAGGGTACGGCAGCCCCCTGCGTGGGGAGGGCTGGGCAAGGGGGACCCTGATGGGTAAGGGGTGTCCTGGAGGCTGCCCTGGATCCCAGTACTGGGTGCAGGGGGGTGCCTGCCTGTGAGTGGGGGCTGTGCTCAGCCTGGGCACCCTCCCAGGAGCCCCCCAAGGAACCCCTAGGGTAGGAGTGTGGGATGTGGTGGGGGCTCTCCTTGACCCTGCTCCTTCTCTGCTTACGGTGGGTGCTGCTGGGACTCTCTGCTCAGCTCGGGTTTGTGTGACCCTCCCTGCCCCTCCCCAGGCAAGACCTCCCTGGCTCACCAGTTTGTGGAAGGGAAGTTTCTGGACTGCTACGACCCCACGGTGGAGAGCAGTAAGTGCCAGGCCGGGGCACCCTTCCCCACAGGTGGGACAAGGACAAACCTGTCCTCACTCTGGCTTGCTGCTGGGGAGGAATGGGGTACAGCCCTGGGGAGAGCATTGGTCACCCTGGGAGCTTGAGGGAACCTGCCTGAGGGGTGGGAGCTTGTTCTTAATGGGGGGCTGAGAGGGGCTCACTCCCCTCCGCCCCCCAGGTGCCCTGGGGTGGGGGCTGTGAGAGAAGGACCTGCCTGGGGCAGAGGGGGCCCATCCTGCCCAGGCTCAAGGGGCTGAGCACAGTGCAGAGGGTGGTCCGGGGTGCAGGCACCCCTCCAGCGCGGTGCGTTTGGGTGGGGGGCTTCTTGTAGCGAAGAAGCTCCCACTGCCTCATCACAGCCTGGGAGGTGCCATGTGGGGGCCATGGGCTGGGCGCAGTGTTGGGGTGGGGGGTTCCTGCTAATCCCCTTGTCTCTGCAGCCTACAGCAAGATGGTGGTGGTCGGCAAGGACGAATTCCACCTGCAGCTGGTGGACACGGCCGGGCAGGTAACGGTGGGAGGGGGGACAGTGACGGACAGGGCATGGCCGTGCTTCCTTCAACACCAAGCGCCCCCGTAGGACGAGTACACCATCCTGCCCCACTCCTTCGTCATCGGCATCCACGGCTACGTGCTGGTGTACTCGGTGACATCCCTGCGCAGGTGAGTGCAGTGGCGGGACCCAGCCCTTCTTGGTGGGGGGCACCCAGCACGGGAAGCGTCCCACCTCTCCGCAACTTCTCCCTGCAGCTTCCAGGTGGTGAAGACCCTCCACAACAAGTTGTACGAGAGCCGGGGGAAGACGAGGTAAGCCTGTCCCCCGCCACCCCTTCTGAGGTGCCAGCTGGTGCCAGCCCTGACACTGTCCCCCCTGCCCCTTCCAGGATGCCTGTGGTGTTGGTGGGCAACAAGGCAGACCTATCCCTGCAGAGGTAAGAGGGGCTCTTGGGTCCCCTGACCACCCACCATCACCTCTGGGCTTGGGGACCTCCCGGTCCCTCTTGCCTGTCCCCCTGCTTCCTTCTGCTGTCTCTGCAGCCGGGAGGTGAAGACGGACGAAGGCAGGAAGCTGGCAGAGTCCTGGGGAGCCATTTTCCTTGAGTCCTCAGCCAAGGAGAGCCAGGTGGGGCTGGTGATGCAGGGCAGGGGAGGCTGGGCCTGGCATGGGTCCCATGGCTCACGGTCCCTCATCCCCAGGGCACCCAGGGCATCTTCACCAAGATCATCGAGGAGATCGACCGCGTGGACAACTCCTATAGCCGGGAGCACCGTTGCCGCCTCATGTGATCCGATGCCACCAGATCCACCTCCTGACCCAGACCTGGCCATGGCGAGGAGCCCCCCGGGCCCTGTGCCAGCCCCTGCATGGGCATTGAGGGCTGGTGGTGGTCACAGGGGTGACAGGGGTCCTCGCCGTGAGCAGCCACACGTGAGGACATGGAGCTGTTCCCAGCGGAGCCACCGAGCAGGAACTGAATCTGCAGCTTGTCCCTGGGATGGCGCTTGGTGCCACCGCGCTGGCAGCGGCGGCGTGTGGGAGTCAGGGACGCCAGGCTCGAACAATTCCACTTTGTGCAGGGGTGAAGCCCCCGTGGAGCCCAGCTGGCACTGGGGCAGGAAGCGGTTCCGGGAGGGCCGATCCGTCCGGGCCACGACTGTTTACTGCAAGGAAGGAGCATGGGGCATATGGTGGCGGGGGGCTCACAGGGCATCCAGTGTTGGGGTGTCCTGTGTGGCTCATCAGTCCCCTGGCAGGCTCGTTAGTGCTAATTACCCACTTGGGTTGGTGGCAGAGAGGCACACGAAGATGCACATAGGGGAGAAGGGGTGCAGGGGACCAGGGTGGGTGTTGGGGGGGGAATCTTTAAGGGGTCCTTGGGGACAGATCTTTGCCCCACATTGGGGACCATGGGTAAAGGGGAGCATTGCTCCCTGGAGTGGGGTCCCTGCTGGGAGCTCTGGGCTATGTTGGATGCATAGAGGGGGATGGGGCACCCTTGGGTACCAATGTCACCGTCACATCCTGCCCTCTTATGGTTGGACTGTCATCCATGGGTCTCGAGCAGGGCACATGTAGTGCCACATGTGGCTTTGAGCTGCCCCTCTGTGGGCTCTGCCAGTGCAACTGGTCCCACATCTCTCCCTGTGCCCTGTGGCTCCTGCCTGGCAGGGTGTTTTGGAGTCTTGTGGGCAGACAGGGCTGTCTGGCAGATGGAGGCTTTGCTAATCCCTGTGCCCAGTGCCCCAGAGAGCGGGTGCCTGGTACAACAAGGCCCTAATACCACTGTGCAGTGGGTGCAGTCCTGCAGGTACCTCATCCCCTGCCTGGGACCTGACCTGGGTGCTATCCCTTATGTAGGGCTGCTGGTTTCATGGGATGGAGCAGAGATGTAATAAAGCAACTGGGAGCAACACAGAGGACGTGGTGCTGCGGGCAATAGCGCAAACTGGGGTCCTGTGGGTGCTGAGGGGCCATATACCCAGCTCATGTCACAGGGGCTGGTTGCCCTGGCTCCCTGGCAGGGGAGAGACAAGGCCTTGGCACAGGGTACAATGTCCATCCTGTAGCCTGGCACCTTGCCCCCCCCAGAGCTGGGTACAGAGCCTGCCCCACGGCATGGACCCTGCCCCACTGACAGCCAGGACTGGGCACCATCCCACCCCATGGCTGGATGGGGTCTAGTGAGCTGCGTGCCCCACAGCCAGGACATGATGTCTGCCCTATGGCCAAGGGCAATTTCTGCCCTATGGGGAGCCATGGTCGGGCACAATACCTGCCCCAGGTTTCAGCACCCTGCCCGGCCCGTGGCTGGTCGGGGTGGCCCTGGCCCGTCCTATGCCAAGCCGAGAGCAGCCCCAGAGGTTGCCGGGGCAGAGCCCAGAGGTGGCCCCACACACGGCCGGGCCCGGCGCGCACCTGCTCCATAGATGGCGCCGGGTG